CCCTTGGATCCAACGGCTAGACAATTGAAAAGATGTGAAAAGCAAGTCAGGCGGATTATGCATTTAAAATGAAAAATGAAAAAAGAACAGAGCTGTCTCTGTGTAAAAAGGGGTAGGTCTTCTTCCAAAGCTTCAATAAGGCTCTAAGGAGTTGATGGTTTTCTAACTTAGGTCACCATTTTAGTATTAGTTAATGGTCTTGACCCGTTATGTGGGAGATTTTGTCTTAAATTTTTACTCATTAATTTTATCCATCTTTTGTTCTTTAGAGTTTGATTAATTAGAGCATTCTTCCTTAGAAAAATTATAGGAACATCACTTTAGTTAGGAAACAGTTTTGTAAAAAGAAAATGGATTTATTAATGTTATATGTTAATAGAACAATACAATCGTTCATACACAAAATCCAACCTAGCTATTGGTATGAAATCACAGCCGGCTAACATAAAACCATTCATTCAAATATTAGACGTCTAAATGTCTTAATGTTATAAAACCATTCCTACACCAAACCCCAATGCCATGCATACACAGATGAGTTAAAACCTTTTTTGGATTACAATCATACTTCGAGCTTTAGCATTTCCCTTCTTGATGCTAATTGAAGCTTTATTTGTTTTGCCGTTACTGTTCTCCCAGTGGGATCTCTTCTCTCACCTTTAATCTTTCTCCCATCAATCTAGGTTGTAATAAAACATGGCAAACTAATCAACCTACATTGAATCAATAGAGAAAAATAAAAACAGGAAAAAATTAATGAAAACTAATTACACCAAATAAAATCAAACAGACCCTACAATGATAATTAGTTATTTAACACAAAATTACTCACATTGTATCCTGTTGAAGCTTTCTCTGAGTATTATAAGTAACGAAATTTGGTTCATATTGCCAAGACTTCATTTCATTATAACGCTTAAAAACACCTTCCAGTGAGCCTACTTTTCCCCAAAATGTTTTAACAAATTGTTGATAAGCACAACATCAGGCTTAACACCCTCTTTTAACATGTTCATGAACATGGTGTTAAGCATCCTCTACCTGTTGTCAAGCTTTCCCAAGCCCCTTTATCAATTCAGTGTAAGTAAATACAGTTGGGATGCAATCAGCAGCAAGTTCCAGGATGAAAATTTTATTTATGAATAGGGAAAATGATATGTCCAGTTCACGAGGCTTTACATGCTCAAAATCCAATTAGAAACAACACATTTAACTTAATTTCTTGGCTAACATGTTTGGATTCTTCTCCTTATTCCTTTTTTCTAGTACTTGTATTATTTAATTAACAGACATTAACCTAGCTACTTACTCAGGCTATGAGGTTTATAACTAATGAAACTGGTGATAATTACATTAACAATATAGATGGAAAATAACTATTTATGAAGACATGCATCACCCATAGAAGGATTAACTCAAAGAAGAAAGATATAGCCCTTTTTTTTTCTATGAAAATCCAATCACATGAAAGAACATTTAGTTTTGGAAAAGATTAAATACAAAAGAAAATGGCTTTCTAATATTGAGATTGAGCATCTGTTATTTCTTTCTGCTCTAACTAAGATATCTCATACTTCATAGCGGAGATCTCCATTTCTAAAGATGCTTTTGCACCCGATTCATTTTCCCTGCCATCTTTCTCCAAGTTTTCATGTGCCTGCAATTCAATTGCTGCAAAGTGCAAGGTTAGATGTTAGGCACAAAGAAAGATAAGTAGCTGAATTAAACAAACAGATGTCATTCATGTCCTAGAACAAGTGCACCGAAAAAGAAAACAAAAAAAAAAAAGATCCACTACATGCACTAACAATAGCTTATCCAGTATCCAGCACCAAATTTGGAAGAAAAAGTATAAACAATGATGAGCTTTTGACAAATAAGGAGGTTGCAAATTGAACCAACGAGAGGTTGGATCAAGCGATAAGTGGCTTGTTCCAGCTTAAGCAAGGTCTCGAGTTCGAGACCTTGTGTACGCAGCAACCCCCGCTAGAAGATTTACCTATCATTTTCAGATGTACGACGCGGGTCAGGTCTAGATTAGTCGGGGCGAAACCCCGAATACCAGACGGGAAACCAAAAAAAAAAAGGTTGCAAATTGAACTCTATCATACCAAACAGAAGATTCACACGTTAACACATGCCTCTTGTGAGTAGGCACTGCTTTCATTGAGACAATAGGACAACTATAGAATTAAAACCGGCACATAAGCTACATGCTAAGAAATGAAGACAATAGGGCAACTAGTCTCCTTTTACTTTTCTTGAGATTGGCGTCCTTAAAATCAAGCTTATCAATTTTTCTACCATATAGCAACAGGGCAACTAGTATTAATCCAAAAAAAACACCAAATAGATTGTCCGTAACTCTCTTGTTATAAATTTTTCTCAATCCATCTCTCTTCCTCCTCTATCTTTCTGTAACCTTTTAGTCATTCTTTATTTATAATCTCTTCCTATCTCTCCTGCATTCTTTTCTCTCCTTTCTCGCTCTTCCTCTTTCACCTTGCACATTCATATTGTTTCGAGGAAATTTAACCATCAAGATGGTATTTTATTTGGACATTCCATGTTTTTAATACTATAAACCCTTTGTTTATGCATTTACTCACCCATCTAGCCACCTAAAAGGCAACCATTATACACAATTATACATGGACAATAGTTTATATGACCCTCATAAAGAAGTCTATTTATTTATAACGTAATTCTTTCTATAATTTGGTTATTTATGCAGGATCCCCAACGTAGAAGAAATCGTGTTGTGTTAGATTCTCCTATTTATAGGAATAAAGAATAAATCACTATTAGACTATATCAAAATGTCCATCAAAAGAATCATGACAAAATGTAGCTAAAACACATTCAAACAACAGTGTTAGACATTCATTAAAAATGAAATGATTATGAGAAAATGCAGATAAAGAGGGCCACCTTAAGAATTTGCAATTCTGTGTTGATATTTATTGAGAACTCTGAACGTGTTTTACATCATTATGTCTTTGTTACATATGAGCGATCCAACTTATACATTCACTTCCCAAGAAGGGTAAGTTGACATGATCGACGATCCCTTAACTGATGGGCCGGAAATGAGTCCTAAAATGGTGGGAAGAGCACATGGGTTCTATGCTCTGGCGTCGCAAGTAGAAATTGGCCTGTTGATGTCTATGAATTTTGCCTTCACGGAAGGGAAATACAACGGCAGCATCATCACGGTGCTGGGGAGGAACACTGTGTTTTCAAAAGTGAGGGAGATGCCGGTGATCGGTGGCAGTGGGCTGTTCCAGTTTGCAAGGAGTTATGTTCAGGCAAGGACTCTTACATTTGATCAGAAAACAGGGGATGCCATAGTTGAGTACACTTGTTATGTTCTGCATTATTGATGATTGTGACCCCTTTTGTGCTTTTTTTGCTTCAGCACAAAGAAAAAGAGAAGAATGCCATACATTGATGAGATGTAAGTGAGAAGTGGCTGTTTTCCAACCTCTATGCACCAAACTTCATCATCTCTAGTCGTTGAATCAAGTCCAGAGGAAGTTTGCATCTCCAGTAAAATCTAGACAAGTTGAAGGAACCCTCCCTCCCTGAGACAATTATTTTCAAAGGTGATGAGCACAGTCATGTGCCCGGTTGAATGATGAAGAATGGAACCTGAGGGAGGTGTTATCAAGTAAATCTTCCTCATTCTAATTATTAATTAGAAAAACGTTAATGGAATCATAAAACGTCCACTGCTCATTTGCTTATAAAAATTTGATCAGGATAATAACCATTCAATCAACAAAACAAGTTGATAAGAAGAACAACATCAAACTTGCAGAATTCATACTTCAGCCTTATTTTAACTGGAGCTTGTTCTTCATTCCTTACAAACTAGATGTTGGAATCAAACATGCAAAACATGAAATGATACAACAAAACACACATGAAGCATAATTTATTACAAACAAAGAGGAAATTAAAAGTTGATCTTGTAGACTGTAGTAACTGAGAAGAAAGCCTGGAATTTCTCTCCCCTCCTTTTCTTTAGATGAAAGAAACTTAGTTAAACTTGAATCCTTCAAGTCTGAAGAAGCGAAATGAACCTGAAAAACAACAATCATAGGTGATTGACTTCTATTTTCAATGAAGAAGTGCACTTGAACAAGATGGCAAAAAGTTAAAACATACCTTATTCATCATGTTCTTGGGTATGAGTGATGGCACCTAAAACTTGAACTTTCTTCGCAATCTGACAGCATTCACTGTCACCACTAGACAGCGTGCTGCCACAATCAAACAGAGGAAGAAGTCCTTCAAGTTGCCGAGGCAAATCTTCATGGAGTTGAACGGCAGGAAACCAAAACGTTTCCATGGATGATCTAACTTGAAAGCTAGAACCCCATCAAAGCTGAAAGCCAATCCAAGGTCCATGCTTGGTTTAAAACCTCTCCAGAACTCATCTTCTCCATTTTGATTGTAGTTGATAGTTTGACACCACCATCCGTAGGTTTTTCATCACCCTGGCATGTTGGTGTTAGAGGAGGCCCACAAAGTGCAGAACTACCAGCAAATGCAGAAGCATTAAAAGTGTCGATTTGGGTACCAGATGGAGTTCACCCAGGAAAGTTGTTATATGAAAGGTCCAAGACACTTTAGAAAATTTAAAAGGGACATGCTTGAAGAGAGCTGACTTGAAAGTCTATTGCTTGACAAATCAAGTCACTGAATTGTCTCAATTGTCCAGTAACTGGTGCAGTGCCTTCCATTCAAATGGCTCCTTGATCAATTCGATTGAACCAATTCAAAGAGACTCCATATCTGCTGTGGAAATTCGCCTTTTAATTTGTTGCTTGATAGATAAATAATCTTCAAAATTGAGATAATATTGAAATCATACTCAAATCCTTTCCACCAAACAAATGCTTTGTTAGCACAGCTATGCGTGTAAAAAGAAGCAGAAGCGTCAAATATAGAAGGCAACAACCATTCTTAAGCCCCTAACTTGCCCCAAATTAGCATTTAAGCCCTAGAACTAAAAATGATTCAATTAAGCCCTTCAACTTAGACTTATAGCAAAAGTGCCGACACTTACATTATTGTGTTGACACTCTAAGTAGTTTTCAGTTTAAAATACTTGTATTTTTAATTTAATCCTATTTTTTTGGTACTTCCTTTTGCCTCGATTAATTTGTTGCCTCGATTAATTTAGAATCGACTTGAATCAAATCTCATAAGAAAAAACTCTTCTAGTATCTATCTCTATTTATAAAATTCAAATTTAAACCCAAAAATCATTGAAAATTTAATCTTTTTTTATAGAGTTTTTTTAAAATATATTAGAATCTGGAGTTTAATTGTAAAATAGTTACATATCTCATTTTCATTAATAAAAGTTAAAAATACCACATATATTGTTCATGATTTATACATTACAAAAGAAGATAAAGAATCTAGATTTCATAATTCATGGCATTTTTTAACATATATAACTAAACTCTGCGAAATGTCATAAATTAAACTCTAAATTTTGTTAAAATATATGATAGAAAATGATCAAAACAAACACAATAAAAAAATTCATCTACATCTACATGAAATAATGCTACTATATTAGTATTTATATCTATGTAGAATAGTCGAATGGGAAGAACAAGCAAATTCAGTGTATACCAGATCACAACTATTTGGGCTGTTAGTGATAAGGGCTTAATTGCACCAGTTGGGGAGTTGAAGGGTTTAATTGCATCATTTTTAGTTCAAGGGATTAAATGCTAATTTAGGATAAGTTCAGGGGCTTAAGAAGGATTTTTGCCAATATAGGAAGATAAAAAGGGGAACGAATTACTGTAAGAGCATTGATGCCATTACTGACTTGTTTGTTTCTTCGCCACCGCCATCTATGTGACTTTCATCTCCCTGACATGTTGGTTTTAGAGGGCACCTACATAGAAAAGAATTGCCATAAAATGCAGAAGCAATCCATATTGCATATCAGTTTCAATATTGACATGTTGTTTGTCATCTAAATTTTTATAACTTTTATAACGTAGGCAAATTGGGAATTCAATTAAAAATGGAAAATGAAAACATCAAACTTGGTTAAATATTCACACTACCAATCCATATTGCATATCAGTTTCAAGCAAATTATTACAAAATAGATGATAGAAAAAAAGCACAAACCATTTAATTTAAACAGGACTTTCAACCAAACACACTGAAAAATTAAGTAAGAAACAATGCCCTGCTCAGCTTGGACTTATTGACGTGGAAAGAGGAGAAGACATCCGTGCAACATGAAACAACTTGAACCTGAAAAAAGGCAACAAGATGAGGTTATTTGCTCTGGTGAGGTTTTTATAATTAAGTAATAAAGATGTTTAACAAGATTAGCAAAAATGTATACCAACCATTTCCGGCCCCTAGGAAGAGACTGATGGCTCAAACAACTTCAACTTTCTTCCTAATCTAGATACATGCTCTCTCACCACCAAACCAACTGCTGTTCCAAGTAAATAAAGGCAGTCCTTCAAGTTGTTGAGTCGGACCCTCATGTTGTTGAACAATAGGAAACAAAGATGTTTCCATGGATGATCTAACTTCACAGCCAGAACTCCCACAAATCCAATTGCCGCTCCAAGTTCCATTCCCGGTTTAAATGATTTCCAGAATTCAGAACTGTCTTCTTGATTGTCTTTGCCACCACTATCTGTTGGTTCGCTCCCTGATTTTTCATCTCCCGGGCAAGTTGGTGTAAGAGGAAGTCCGCAGAGTGAAGGATTACCAACAAATGCAGAAGCATTAAAGGACTGCATTTGGGTTGATAATGGGATTCTCCCTGAAAAGTTGTTGTATGACAGATTCAAAGTGCTGAGGAAATTTAATTGGGACATGCTCCCAGGAAGATGACCTGAAAGCTGGTTCTGTGACAGATCGAGTGATTCTAACTGTCTCATTTGCCCAATATCTGAAGGAATCCTTCCTGCCAACTGATTTCTTGATAAGTTCAATTGAACCAGTTCAAAGAGAACCGATATCTGGACAGGAATCTCTCCTGTTAATTTGTTGCTTGAAAGATCAATGATCCTCAGATTCTTGAGATTTCCATTCCCATAATCACGCTCCATACCTTTCCACATTACAGATGCTTTGTCAGCATATCTTCCATTGTTCTTGGGATCAGCATCAATACGTATTGGAAAACTATGATCGCGGGCTGAATTCTCCTTTTGAGCTAATGCAGTTAGGTTATGGATGCACCATGGTATGCTTCTAGATAGATTGTTGTTGGAGAGGTCTAGCAGCATAATATTTGTCAACCAGCATAGCTGTAAGGGGATGTCTCCACTGAAATTATTGGATCTCAAAAGAAGGAAAGTCAGTGAACTTAGCCTTTCTCCTATCCAAGTTGGTATCATTCCAGAGAAGCTATTATAATTCAAGCCCAAAAATTGCAACGCACTGCAACTTCCTAGAGCCCAAGGTATTTCCCCTGAGAAATTGTTGTTTTGCAAACCTAACGATTCAAGGCAAGACAAAGATCCAATAGAGCTTGGAATTTTCCCAAATAAATGATTATTAGCCAAATTCAGAACCACTAGACTTGTCCATCGCGTCATGCAACGAGGAAGCTTTTTAGATAGTTGATTGTGCGAAACATCAAGGAACACCAGGTTCCCACTAGTTATAGTACAGAGAGAAGAAATTGACCCAGAAAAACTATTTTCTGACAGGTTTATCAATGTGATATTAACAGGGAATATTGGTAATGGACCCTCCAACTTATTTTTACTCAAATCTATCTCAAGGCCAAAAGAATCAGCAAATTTTGTAGTTGACAAATTTGGCAAAACTCCATAGAGATCATTGGAAGAAAGATTCACATGAAATGCCCAAGAGGATAGGTTCCAAAACCACTTTGGGATGTTATCTGAAATCCCAGTTCCAGAGATATCAAGATAAGAAAAGTTTATTTGGGTCTTTAACCATCTTGGAAACTTGGGGCCTAACTTGCACAACACAAGTTTTATATCATCCAACTGGAATGGAGGAATCCAATCACGGCTAAAGTTGAAGCTCAGAGGATTAAAAGACATGTCCAAGACTTGTAACTTAGATAGATTTGAGAAGTGTGATTCAGTGATCAACCCATTCAAAGAATTGGAAGAAATTTGTAACCACTCAAGCTTTGACAAGAGTCCAATACTTTTGGGCAGAGAACCGTTTAGTTGATTGTTGTCAAAATCCAACTGTCTCAATGACATGAAGTTTTTTATCATATCAGGCAAGGGTCCCTTGATTTTATTTTCACCCAAAATCAGTTCTTCCAAGGAGAGTTGTAGACAACCAGATAAGTTACTAATAAGTTCAGGAAGCATTCCAACAAGATTGTTATGAGATAGGGCTAGGTACCTTAATTTGCACAGGTTCCCAAAGGATTTTGGAATCCCTCCAAATTGGTTGCCAGAGAGATCTAGGGTTTCTAGATAAGTCATGTGACCGAGATTTTCTGGAATCAAACCTTGAAAGGAATTATCAGACAAGTAGAGACTAACAAGGCTCTTATTGAATTTGGACAACCATTGAGATGTGGAAGCACTCAGATTATTAAAGCTGAGGTCAAGGGTAGCGAGAGAAGTAGATGTATTGATCATGGGGATAGATTGAGGAAGGATATATGGGAGATTACATGCATATAGATACAAGATGGTTAGATGAGGGAGCTTATTAATTACCTCTGGCAAGTAATTATTGACCTTACTAAGGTCGATTTCACTCATATCAAGGAATTGCAAGTAAGAAAGAGGAGAGAGCCACTCAAGATTTTTGATGTTGAAATTGTTATGGCTAAGATCAAGATGTTGCAAACTTGTGAGGTTTGCAAGCTGATTTGGAATAGATCCACTTAAATTACAATGTCGGAGATTAAGATGTTGTAATTTGTTGAGTGAACCGATTGACTCTGGAATATGACTTAAGTTGAAATCATTCCAACTAAAGTCTAAAAAAGTTAAATGCTGCAACTTAAAGAGGGAAGGATTAAGATTACCTCTTACCACAGAAAGTGTAAGCACAATGACATGCCCAGTTATGTTACTACATTCAACTCCTTCCCATTTGCAACACTCTTTTTTCTCTTCTTCACTGCCCCATGAAGAAAGACTGCCATATTCATCAACTAGACTTTGCTTAAATGCGAGGAGCGCTTGTCTTTCGCTCTCTATGCACCTAATTTCATTCTCACCACCAGTTGTTGAATTGAATCCAACGGAAGTTTGCATATGCAGTAAAATCAGGAGTGCATAGACAAGTTGAAGGAACCTTCCACCCATAATCATCATCTTGGAAGTGAGGAGAATGAAATCAGAGATGAAGATAGTGTATGTGAAGGAAATATGGTAGACCCAAAAAGATCTTGGTAAGGGGTACAAATACCAAATCATCCACATCTTAACTGTTGATTTGATAAAATATCACATAATATAAAGTTATTTGTTAAATTTAAAATAATTTATTTTAATTCAAAAATATATAAATTTATCATCACTACATATTATTGATAAATTATTTTTATTTAAAATTTATTTATAATATTATACTATATATTTAGTTATTTAATAATATATTATAATTTTAAATTTATTTTTTATTTAGAAACATATCCATAATATTGATGCATGATTATAAATTTAAGATATTATTTAATATAATAATTGTAATATTGTTATTATAAACATATTATTATTAAATTTTTAAAAAAATATATCAATCAGCAGAAAAATCAAATAAAGCGGACTACGTGGCATGCGTGCATTCGCAGCGCAAATTTCGCTGCCTGTATCATTGTCCTTGTGAAATTTGGAGCACGCTCAAGTTGAGAAAGTGGATGACCATTGACTTGTTGACAATTACCCACCCCACGAAATTCCATTTGACGGACCTCTTGCTCTGATTTTCTCTCCTCTATTTTTTATTTTTATTTTTTTAATATGCATTTTTAGAATATAGATTAAATATATAATTAATATATTTTTTATAATTAATTTTATTAAAAATGTAAATATTAATTTTAGTTTAATCATTTAACCAATTTAATTCAATTA